CTGGCTGAAGTAGGTGGTATTTGTTAAAATGTTTCAAACTGCAGGCGGGGAACGTTGGTTTCCTCCTTCACTGAAGCAAGCAAGCCTCATGTTAGTTTCAAGCTGCCTGGCTGCCGGCGGCCATCTTGGATGACAGTTAATTTGCATATCTCGCTGATTAGCCAGTGAAAAGGGTAGCGGTCATATGCCAATTACCATGTTTCTCTTTTATTAGTGTAGATATTAACACAAAGCTTCATTATACAACAGTTCAGGTGTATGGCCTGGTGTGGGTACTAATGAATTAATGAACCTGAAGCTTCCTTCCATTTCTGGGATCAAGGATGAAAAAAAGAAAAACTCGCCTTGCTAGTGTGGCTCAGTGGTTGAGCATCAACCTATGACCCAGGAGGTCGCAGTTTGACTCCCAGTCAGGGCACATGCCCAGGTTGCAGGCTCGATCCCCAATGTGGGGCCTGCAGGAGGCAGCCAATCACTGATTCTCTCTTATCATGGATATTTCTATCTCCATGAGATAGAAATCATTGATGTTTCTGTCTCTCCCTCTCCCTCTCCCTTCCTCTCTAAAATCAATAAAAATATATATATTTTTTAAAGAAAAACCTCAAGGGGAGAGAACCGAAGATGGCGGCATAGGTTAACGCCGGAGATTGCTGCCTTGAACAACCAATTCAAATTACGCCTGAAACAGAGAATGGACAACATCCAGAACCACAGGAGGGCTGGCTGAGTGGAAATTCTACAGCTAGGAGTAAAGAGAATAGCATACCCAGACTCAGAGGAGGTGCAGTGCTGAAGTGAAATTCTCAGGTATGAGTGCGCGCGGAGCCGCGGGCTGGCGGCGCGGAGGGCGCGGTTGTTTTCAATTGGGAGGGAGCTTCAGATTCTGAGCTCCAGATCCGGGCGAGTCGGCGTCCCAAAAGAGTGGAGATATTGACCCTCTACAAGTGCTAGGACAGGAGTGGTGTGGCGCATGCACTAGTGGGTGAGGGCCTGGAGAGATTGGAGGGAATTGTAGCATAGTTCAAAGTACAAGTACCCCCGAGAAGATGCGGTCAGAGTCTTGTGTGTTCATAAGCTACTTTTACCAGCCTTGCTCATCTTGTCGGATGTACGTTTGATGGAAGCTGAGGCTGTAGGGAGTCCCATGGTCGGCTGTAGGGGTTTGCAGCCTTGGAAATTCCCCAAATTTGAGAGCTGCCTCCCAGTGGGGACCTTGAGAAGGACCTTGGGGACTAGACCCAAGAAGCCTGAGTGCTCCGGAACTCTCCCAGCTCTTGTTCCGGGAGGTGCTCCAAAGGGACCTCTCCTGGGAAGAGATCCTAGGCCTCCCCAGACTTCCCAGCAGGACATCCATGCCCAGACAGTGCAGCCCGCAGGCCCAAGGCAAGGCAGGAGCAGGTTCCACT